GAGAATGAATATAGAAGCATGAAAAATTTGGATGAAAAGGAACTTCTAGAAGAACTAATGAGGGTCCCTTGGGACTCGGCGTATCCTTTTGAAGATGTTGATGACCTATAGGATCACTGGGCGAAGCTTTACTGCGAGGTGTTGGAAAAACACGCTCCTCTAAAGAAAAAGTGGATCAGAGGTGACCAGCCGCCGTGGATCACTCCTGAATTACAATGTGAAATTTCTCGGCGAAATTGACTATTCAAGAAACATGCTATAAATTCAACTGATTCTTCTTGGGAAGAATACAGCAAACTGAGAAACAAAGTAACTTTATTAAAAAGGAAAGGGATGAAGTCGTTTTGTGTTGATGCTTCCTTGAATAAAAAGCATCATGGAGAATTCTGAAGGAAAATGAAACTGCTTCTACCAAGTAAGGCGAAGATGTAGTCCAAGATCGTTTTGCTGGAGAACGAGCAATTGATTATGGACCCCAAGTGTGTTCCTGAGATATTTAATGATTAATTTTGTGACGCAGCTGCAAGTGACGGCGCTCAAATGACTGTGGATGAATTTACAGATCACCCTAGCGTCAAGAGGATTGCTGAACATTTCGGACCTGCTAGCAATTTTGATTCTCAGCTGATAGAGGCGGAATATGTGAAGGACATACTGCTGAAGCTTAATCCAAGTAAAGCCGTAGGATGCGATAACATATCACAAAGACTATTGCGTATTATTAAATTATTTTATTAAAGGCACCTCATTGCAATTATATGCCGATGACACAACTGCTTACGCCTCAGATACATCTCCTATTGTTTTACAATACATTATCAACTCAGATCTTCAAGAAGTGCATACATGGCTCCAACATATTTGATTTGCAAATCAATGCAACAAAGTCCCACCGAATTTACTATGAAGACAAGAAATTCCAATTCTTGAGTGGGGTGAAAAACAGAATTGACTGGATGTATTTATAAAGCCAAGCTTTTGGAATAATGTCACAGTTTCCCTAACATTTTCCCAGCATTTGAGCTCTGATTCCCCTTGTAAATAAGAGTCGTCTAGGTAGGGGACCAGGAGATGTCCTTTTTTAAGAAGCTCAGCATATACAGGTTTCAGCAATTTAGTGAATTTTCTTGGGCAGCAGGCCAGCCCATTAGGGAAGCAAGTGTATCAAATGGCAACGACCGTTTACGAAAGGGAAATTTGCGTAGGGGACCAGGAGATGTCCTTTTCTACGAAGCTCAGCATATACAGGTTTCAGCAATTTAGTGAATTTTCTTGGGCAGCAGGCCAGCCCATTAGGGAAGCAAGTGTATTGAAATAATTTATTATTCCAATAAAATCTCAAAAATTTTCTATGCTCCACTGCCACTGGCACTGAGTAATAAGCATCCTTAAAGTCTATTGAATGCCATGTAACAGTTAGGCCTTATTAAGGTAGTGACTGTATGAATGCTTTCCATCTTAAAATGATGGTACTCAATATTCTCATTAAACTCTTTCAAATTTAGGATCAGTCTGAAGGTGCCATCTTTCTTAGGCCTGGCAAAGATTGTGGACACAAATTGTCCAATACAAGGCAAGCATTCTTCAATAATTCCCTAATAAAGGAGTTTCGTAATCTCCTTATCAATTGCTACTTTCTCCCCATGCCCAGTTGACAATTCAATTCGCTACTGATCAAGTCGAGATGAATGGGAGCAACTGTGTCCAAAATAGCCTTATCTGAAGTTAGTTTTTTTCCACTCTGGGAGAAAATCATTAAGTCTACTAGCTCTGAATTCGTCAATAGGCACCAGGTTAATTGTTTCCTTCTTAAAATAAATGCAGGTAGGAGATTCACTCACTGTTTCCCGTGTAAAAGAGCTTACTGCTTCTGGTTTTCGTATCTCCCTTTTTTCTCCTGTTGGTTGTACGATCGTTTGCCTAAAAAAGGCTTTCGTGAGCTGGATACGTTTGCGCTGTGCGAACTCCTGGAATATTTATAATCATTGCCGCGGTATCCTCGCGAGCGGCCATATTGTTTACTAGGAAATCTCTTCCTGCTCAATTGACCATGGGGTTTCACCATGGCTTTCTTTACAGCGCAGTTGGTCTTGTCAATGTCTTCCAACCTTTTGGAGGTATCTCCCCTGAATAGCAAGTTGTTCACAGGGACTGACAAGGAGAATAACGAGGTTTGGTAGTCTTTATTGAGGTCGGGTTTTATGCACTCTTGTCGTCTCATGTTGATCTCAAAATTTGCGTAGCTAAGCATTTCTATAGCTGACATTCCTTTGTCGATCAGCTGGTTAAGTTTGCTCTCATAATCTACACTGTCATTCACTGACTCATCATTTGCTTTGGACTTCAGGTCCAGCATTTCATTGAGCATTTTGGTGACAGCAATGACACCTTTGATCAACATGCCTTGGGCTGTTTGTACCCTCGAGTCAAAGGACCTCGTGTTCGGCCTCACCCTGTTCCAAATAAGCTCATCCACTATTGTCATGACCAAACTTTCACAGTTTTGTGGTCGGAGGATTTTTTTCCCTCCTTCTTTGAGCTTTGATTCTTCAGGTTTTTTCAATTTGAACATGAGTCCGTTCACGAGTGTAGCAAGTTGTTTGTTGACAGCAATGTCAGTCGGTTCTGTCTTTGTGAGGCGTTGAGCAATTGCGTCGAGTACATCACATTTTTTATCTACGCTTTTCCACCGTTTTGCAGCGGTTTCTGTCACATCGTCTGACAAGACAAATATTTGTGATGGGGAGGCATCTCTTTGGCGTTTTGACCGAGGCTCATCGCACCGAGTGCGATCGTTGGTTTTCGCACCATTTTCATCGTCACTGTCACTCTTGTATTCTCCCCGCCNTATCTACTATATAACTATAGCACAAGAAGGCAGATCCAAGACAAAAATCTGGAATCGTCGCTTCCACATTCAAGTGGCCAGGTTGGGATGTCTGGTCTGTCGTCGAATTGAGAGTTCGTCCCGCCATTCTCAGAGATAGATTCATCGACTTACAAGTTCGTGTCGCCGTTCTCCGAAATCGTTTTATCAACTAGCAACTTCGTCCCGCCATTCTCAGAGATAGAGTCGTCAACTTGCAAGTTCGTGTCACTGTTCTCTGAAATCGACTCGTCGACTTGCAAGGTCGACTTGCAAGGTCGACTTGCGGGTTCGTGTCACCGTTCTCCGAAATCGACTCGTCGACTTGCAAGGTCGACTTGCAAGTTCGTCCCGCTGTTCTCAGAGAGAGTCACTGACTTGCCAGTTCGTCTTGCCATTCTCCGAAATCGACTGGTCGACTTGTGAGTTCGTCCCACCGTTCTCAGAGATAGATTCGTTGACTTGCATGCTCGTCCCGCCGTTCCCCAAAATCGACTTGTTGACTTGCAAATTTGTTCCGCACTTCTTCAATTACGATTTGATGTGTTTTTAGTTAGTCCCGCCACCATCCCCTCAAATCGCTGCGTTCCCAATCGAATTGTGGCTTCGGAGATCGATTCGTCAACAAGAGCTTTATACCCCACCCCACTGGTTTGGTATTTTCAATCCCATAAGCTACCACATCCCAACGTATATACCACCGCATGGGAAATCAGTCAAAAAACATGGAGGAGGTGAGGAGTATCTTGAGAGATGCTCTCACAAAAATCGAGGGAGTTGATGCAAACAACAATTCTTCTCCTTCCAATGACAATTCTTTACCTTCTCCCAGTACAGCGAGAGGATCGCCAACTATTCCTTGGGCTTCAAGAGCCGAAGCAAACAGGAGGTTCATGTCAAATGAACTAAGCTGCCATTCCCACATGCTCAAATTAATTTATTCTCTCCTTTAGAATTTAGCAGAAAAATATCCCCTTTCAAACTTTAATTCTTTAGCTCATACAATCCCAAGCCACTCTTCTTCCATTTTAGAGGCAGCATGTGCAGAAACCAATACTATAAGTGATGAGATACAATGAAATATATGAAGTTTATATATTTTGTACTGCGGTATTAGATACATATGATGCTCGATCCTCGCAGTAGATAGCGCTATTTAAGCAATAGCGAAAATCAGACCTGAAAAAAAA